ACATTTCATTGATAAAATTCTCAGGTTTTAATGAACCTGCAGCTCTTGCAGATTTCTGGAAAGTTATTTAGTTCTTCTATAATAAGTTTTCCTATGAGATAATGTCCTTCTTCTCAATCAACGATTTCAGCTCAGGCAATCGTTGCGGTATTTTTCTGTGAATACTTGCAATAATGTGCTATTGTAACCATATTGGCGACATTATATGAAACGAACACATGACTGCCAAATAAATCAGCGCGTCCAGCACATGCGAAATCCAGGTTGCCAGCTTGGTGACTTATCTTGAACGTTGACATGGTTGTGATAGTAATTAATTTATTACAGCTTGATGAAAAACTTTTTTATATAGAAATAAATAAATTTTGTTAAATTTTGAGCTTAAAATGTGACATTCCATCCAGTTAGTATACATTGTTAAGTAAAGTTGCTAATTTATTTTATATATAATGTAATCTAGTGCTCTCTTTAGCACTAAAAAAAATTCGCATTATATAATTACATTTTTATATTTATAACCCAATGTTTCAATAAAGTTAACTGGTAAAAGGGACTGAAGTAGACTTTTTATATAGGTTAAGCAGTTGGTTACCAAACCTATTTTGTAACCTATATGTACGTTAAATGTTTATGAATATCTCACCACTTACCTGTACGTACAAAAACCTTTAGATAATTTTTTTATACTTTGGCAGCGAAAAAATATCCTAAGTTTAAATTAATCTTCTCCTCGTCTATATTTTATGTTGTTGTTTTTTTAAACAAAAATGTCAATTTCCCTTTTAGTAAAAACGGAAAGAAATACTTAATAACATTTTAAGTTAGGAATTCTTTTTTTTTTCTTTAAAAATTAAAACATGCAATATTATTAAAACATTGTAATTATTTTTCTTTGAGAAAAATAATCGACATAACACTTTGAATGTATTGAAATACTTTAAATATATCGAAAATATATGTAACTACACTTTTCACGTGGTTTAATTTAACTATGCATACATATAAATTTTTAAGTAATGCATCTAATTCTGATAAGATTTAAATATAAGTTTATGTATTTAGATAAAACAAGAACTTTGAAACCATACCATATATTTAGGAATAATTTTAAAAAATTCTTCAACAACATAGCTATATTATATTATATTTATGTGTTTATACCTTTGCAATAAGGTACACTAAAACCAACAAAGTCGTTCATGTTTGCTAACATGTATATCACTTGGTACATACATTTACATTTCACTTCTCGGAGATGAGAATTCATTTTGTGTTTCTTTCATTTCTACATATACGTTTTACATTACATTTTATTTACTGTAGTGCGTGTACTCCCCCCCTTAAAACTAAGTTTACGATTAAAATAACTGAGTATATTAGTTTCTCTCAGCTACAATTTTGTCTCAGAGAGAAATTAAATATTATATATTAATTTCTGCTATTTTTCATACTATTTGAATGCTTAAAACGTTGGTATTTATCCTACAGTATATAAAAAAATCCAAAACAATCATTTTTTCTTTGTAAAAGGATTTATTACGCTGTTTAAATGATGTTACTGTATCCCGTTACAGCAGCGTTTTTCAAAATGAGGGATACAAAAGTTAGCACTTGTCTTGATAATTTGTACGGTTTATAATTAATCCTCTCACTGCCGATTTAAAGATACACAATTCGCTCCACTTCGGCTTGCGTATGGGAAGTATTGGGGAAGGGGAAGGAATAAGCAAAAAACTTGATTTCCTAATGGAATTTGACCTATATTATTTATTTATTTGAAACTAGTATTTAGTAATATTTTTATATACAGATATAATTAGATGTCCACTGCTTTCTTAGCCCTTTATCTACCGACGGTACTTATAAGTATCACTCACTTTAAAATTACATAGAATAACCACTTTTACGAATACTCAGACGATACTTAGCAGGAATATTCTTTTAAATCCACTCTTCCAAGATACAAGGCAGAATGGGTTCTATGAAGATTATTTTAGCGGGGAAGGTGAATAGTTTTATAGCAGAAATTGCGTTTACAGTTGTTGGATTTTTCAGCGCATTGCGAAGATTGCCATTTTTTTGTTCCGAAAAAATAGTTAAATTTAAAAATAAGTGTCTTATTTTTTTATGTTAATGAAGAACTTAGAAAACAATTTGACTATTTATTTTAAGTGAATAGTGTGTATAATTAATTTTACATTTGAATATCTTTAATTAATTAATTTGCTCTAAACTAATTAAATTTCCCAAAGTTGAGTATTTTGTTTATGTATATCCCTTAGTTTTTTCAATGTAGTGATTCAAAAAAATATTTCATGAAAAAAAGTACAGTTAATCATAATGCGGTAGATAAAGGGTTAAAGGGAAAAAATGAAGTGTTTGAAAATGTGCATAAATAGCAGAGACAGTCTTTTAACTATTGAGGAACCTTTAAATAAATCAACCATGTGTTGAGAATCAAGGAGGAGTGTACAAAACTTTGGAAGTCCGCGATGTCAGGCTGATGCACAAAGGGGTCTGCGGCGACCGAAAGTTTAAGAACCACTGCGCTATGTAATTAAATACTCAATATGATACCTTGCGATACATAACCTCATATGCACTCCATATGATTTTAAAGATACTCCAATTGATTTGAATTCTCCGATTTAAATATAGTATAAGATTCTGTACATTCCTTCTGTTTCTTCGTTTTATTGGATAAGAACTTTAAAAGTTGTCGTGAGTGAGTAAATTATAAAAACATAGAATCAATTTTCATCTGGTCAAACATTACCAAAATAAGGATTAGAAAGTTGTGAATAATTTACTAAGTACATGATTTCAAAACAGTTTTTTTATTACGAGAATTTTTTTAGGGGAAAAAAATGTTAGATTAAATAAACTTCTATACAGACATTGAACATTAAAAATTTAAACATGCATTAAATTTTTTTTTATTTTAAATTCCTTGTAATGGAGTCCAATTGAACTCTATAAATAGGAAGTCAAAATGTAAAAACAAAGAATAGCATGTTTACACAAATTGAATAGATAACAAATGATTTAAAAAAATAGTATTTATGTGATAATTCAATTTTGATTTAAAATATAACACATTGATATTTTTGCGCTCAATTTTCCAATATAATTTTTTACCTCCTATGTTTTCCACGAATTCAATGAATAAGCCCCTTTTTATCAAATAAAATGTAATGTTTTTTCACAGTAACTGAGATTTACTTTATATCCAGTAGTAACTGAGATTTACTTTATATCCAGTTCTAAGCACATTTTTCATGCACGTACAAAGCCAAAATATATTTAGGTGTTCTGAACAACCCTTTTGCGAATAGTATTTTAAAATGGAATCTACCGTTTCCCCAAAAATAGAAACCTTAAAACCTTAAATAAACTCATCTAACTTCTTTACTATTAGAAATATTCAGCCAAATGCGTTTATGCCGGTTTAAGAGTTGAGCGAGATAAATAAAATTAACTTGTATATTACATATAATAAAAGCTCTTTTTTTTATTTACAGACTAAACATTAAGTGCAATTGTTTTGAAAACAAAGTCATCCATCAATTATTTTAAAAGCCATAATAAGCTTATGAAGAAAATAATTAAATTTGCCTTAAATTGCAGAAATTGTTAGAATTTAAATAATTAAACCGTGAAAAGTATTTTGTACAAACATATGTAAAGTTGTTTATCTTATTTTCTTTTTTTTTTTTAATATTTTCTTAATTGTAGATTAAGTTCATATACATTTGAAGAATTTCCTCATAAAGAAAATACGAAATTCTCTGTAAATATTACAATATGTGTTTTAAAAAGTGCAGAGATGATGATTAAATCAAACAATTAAATCACCTTTAAAATACTGAATCAATCATTCTTTAAAAAAAATTCTGTTAAGTAAATAAAAATTCCAAAATCATATGTTACATTAAGTTACGTGAAAAAGAATCAAATTCCGAACCAAAAACATAATAGTAACACAATCTCTCGAAGAAAAATACCCCCTAAAAAGAATATATATTCTTAAATTTACAATTTATGCAGAAATTAATTATTTATTTCCATATAAATACAGAACACCCATCTTGCTTTTAATCGAATCAAGAAAGGCATCGAACTCTCTTCTTATCAAAGCTCAATATCTCGCCATTAAAATAAACTCCGGAATACTTGATTTAAGTATTTAGCCGTTTTAAATGTTTCATTTCCTTTAATAACCCTTTTACAAAATTTTCGAAACGTAATTAATGCTTCAATCCCCCAAGGATGAATATTCAGCTTTCGGCTATAAAACTATTTACCATTAATGATCTATAATTAACGCATTCAACGGTGCTTTCTGGATATCTATTGAAGATTTATTAAATTTAACGGGAACATGTTTTATTTTCTTAAATGAAACTCTTAAAGTGGCTAATACTTGAATGGGAAATCATATTTTGTTTGGATGTTGGAAGCTAAAAGGAAATAGGAAATATTTCGCCGGTGAAACTTACTTCATCTCTTTATGATGATCATGAGAAGAATCAGAAGTATATTTTGGATCATTTAACTTTGTTGAAAATGTAAACTAGACTTGTGAAGTTAATTAGCATATAAAAGGTTTTAATCAACGTATTTATCATGTTTTGTAATCTAGATTGCCTATTTATCAAAATGGAAATGAAAATATGAGAATAACAAATAATATAAAAAACATTTTTTAAAGTCAATTCATACTGAGGTCAACAAAGAAATATTTTATTTTAGTCACTTTTTATTAAATAATTACAACTAATATATATAATATATATATATATATATATATATATATATATATATATATATATATATATATATATATATATATAAATTTGACAGAATCACAGTATTAAGTGGCCCAAATGGAAAGCGATTTTCCTTGAAATTTTCCATTTTCCTTTCTATATATGGGGGTGGAGTATTATTCTTTTTTTTTTTTGTTACTATTTCATAAATCACATTGTCAGAAATTAGGCCATCCCAAGTAGGATTCGAACCCACGATAATTGGATTTGAAGTCCAAAACGCTACCCATTGCGATACAGGGACATAACGAGTGAGTTTCCTTCCTATGTATGATGTTGGACTATTATTTTTGTTTGTCACCATTTATTCATTTTTTAATTTAATGAATTAATTAATATTTGAAAAACCTGCATTAGCATGAAGTGTCATCCACTAAAATTTAAAAAAAAGGCTTTTGAACTTGAGTGGAAGAAAAAAAAGCATTTTATTAAAGATTGAAAATTTGAACAAGAGCAGTTGCGTAACGGAGAACATTAAGGCCCTCCTGCAAACTCATGTTTTGGGCCTCAAACCCAAATACGTAGTTACTATCAGTCAAACTTTGGACCCCTAGAGTCTCTTTCCCTGCCCCTCCCCCTGCAATGCGGGGTGTACGTTACGTTACAGAGAAAGAATGTGTACTAATAGTACGAATTGAAAAAAACGCCATTAAAATGAAATTTTAAAAAGTTTTACTTTTGTAAAAATATCTTTTTTAATTGTACATTGAATTTTTAATGCAGATAGTAATTATTTCAGCTACTTCTTTATAATTTACTACATTCTAACAAAAGTAGTTAAAGTAAATAAGGGAAGAAATGTTTTATTTTCTCTCTCTTTTTAAATGTCTGAAATTACAGTTCGTATTTCATTTGTTATATTCTAAAAAAGGTAACTTGAAAAATTTTTAATGCTGTTAAAATATAAAATGAGAATAGTTGTATAATTTGTTATAGATGTATTACTAAGAAATTCAAATACACTTTTAAAAAACATCTAAATCGTGTAGCATATATCCGTACTACGTTTATTTGTCAACAAATACTGAAAGTATTAAATGTATTTTTCTGCACATTTCCTTTCATTCTGTAGAACACCGAACAAATGTTTTTTTAATAATATTGTAGTTATTCAAATACTATTAAAATATATAACAGAGATGATTATTAAATTTAATATAGAAGTAGTTATATATACAGTGAAAAATGACTGCCATTAGATACCATTTGAATCGCTGATATAAGAAAAAAATCAAATACACTTTAAAAAACATTAAATCATAACATATATCCTTATTACATTTATTTGTTAACAAATACTGAAAGTATTAAGTGTTTTTAGTACATTTACTATCTTTTTAAGTAACATATAATTTCTATTTTGTTAAAAATATATCTCAAAGTAATATAATAATTTTAAAACAATCAAAATATACAATTATATACAATTTTAAATACATATATGATATTTTTTTATCTTATCAAAGCATTGAATTTTCATAGAACTTTATACTCAAAAACATTCACATCAAATAAACAAATTTGCTAAAACAACTGGTACTATAATTCTTGTACTTTTTCTCAATTCATATATAGGTATGTCAAAAAAGTTATAAATTTCCCTGCTATAGAACTCAAAGGGAATAAAACTTCTTCGTCTGTTGATTTTTATACTTATTTTTAATCGGATCATCGATACAATTTTATATGCTATTTGCATCTCATTTTTTCCTTTAATTATCTGTATTTAGCAGAGAATAACTTAATGCGTTAAGATACGATGAAAATATATTTCCAATTTACATTTATATCAGATTGGTATATATGTTATATTTTATTCCAGATATCAGCAGATTTATGCTACCATAGCCTTTTATCTAAATTGTGGAGGATATTGTATGTAATTGATTCTTATTTTACTTCTAATTAGTTTTTAATATAAATAAAAATATATAATTTTAATAACTAACAAAACACTACACAATATCATAATAAACCATCTAAATTTTTTACTTATTATGTTTCATGCTCTCGTGCTATATTCTTAGGGTAGAAAATAAACAGATTGAGAGCAGCTCTTTTTCAATAGAGCTTCTCTTCTTTTTCGTCAATCAATCTTTTTCTTTAAAAAAAAACGTATTATCATAATTTTATAATATTGAGGTTGTTTTGCTTAAAAAGATATGCAGTACTCCATCTTGCTTTTTTTTGTTTAAAATCTATCTTAAATAAAATTAGATATGTCCTGGAATTTTCAGGAAAAAAATATATCTGAATCCTGTGATTTTTTTAAGACACAAGAAATAAGAAATTAAACATAGTTGATGAATTAAAACAATTATCATATAATTTTAAACTAAAAAAATATTCAATCAAATTCCGTAAAACATATTCAATAACTTATCAATTTATGTAACTTGCGAATAACCATGATTTAATTCTGCAATTATAAATGTAAATCAAATTCAAACCATTTATATATTTTATAACAAAGTATTACATATATGATCAGCTCCCCATCCCAAATTTTTTTATGTTATTTTCATAATCTTAACTTTTTCTCAACGTTATTAAGCATTTCTTTATAAAAATATCACATAAAATCTATATTAAAGTACAATATATCCAAATAAAAGAATACACTTGTTTACATTAGTTGGAAATGGCTGAATCTTGTTGAATATTTATAAAAATATGTATTTCATTTTTATATTTTTCTACTCATTATAATAATACCAATAATATATTGACTATTTAATATTCATCTCACTTGTATTTGATAAACAACAATATATACAAATATATACATTATAGCCAAAAGTATATCTTCTGAAAAACATTATTTACGAGCTAGGCAAAGGTGAGAATAAGAACAATTTCTAAGACAATAAACTGCTTTAATATATACTAAAAAAATAAACATACCTGAGAGAGAGAATCAAAGAAAAATCTATACACTTATTCAATAAATAAACTTTTCACACAACACAATACTAAATGAAACAAGCACTTGTACGAAATAAGTTAATACTTGAATGAATAATAGTTGTTGCGAATTAAAAAGGAAGCTATCCCTTCGAAATAGTATTTACTTTTCGTTTTTCATCAATCACAGTATCAGGATTGATTTTTCTTACAGCTTTCAGCATTTCTTTATCATTTGACAGCGACGGTATTTGACTGCTTGTTGAAGTTTGCAGTGTAGTAAGATTTGATAGACTGCTGTACATAGCAGCTTTAAGACCACCATGTTTTCCCATTCTATATTTATCAGAACGAATTCTCAACTTAATAGCAAGCATGTTCAGAATGTTCTTTTTCATCGTGAAAGCAATGAATATTAAAGCACCCTGTAGTCCATTTAAAATAATAAATGGATACCAAAACACATCCATTCTTGTGATACCAGCAACTAAACCAAGAATCCAAGTTAAACCTAATACAACGGCTAATTTTAAATACAAAAAATACCTTACTTTATCTGAGAAGTTGTTCACCATTTTGGTTTGGCGAGAAACTTTAGTTATGTGAAAGGCTGTTATGCCAAACAAAACAATGTTTGCAATTAGAAGTATCGTTGCTGGCGTAACAAAGAATATTAAAAGCCCCTTTTTGCTGTTGAGCCAGCAAGTGGGTTCTGCATATCTTGGACGAAAGCTATTTCCGTTTGGTAATAAATTGTCAATTAGGATGCTGGAAAGTACCAGACAAGCAGTACATAGCCAGGCAAAGAGAGAATACTTTAAAAATACCTTCGATTTATTAGTGTTATGTGATTGGGTAACAGAAAACGTTCCATGAATATCGAATGCCATCACACTCATCCACGAAAATGCAGCAATGTAACCGAAATGAATCAGAGCGCCATTGAAGTAGCATAACCATAATATGTCTCTGAAATATGGTCCTAACAATAAGAAAAGGTGTCCACACAATAATGAAACCGCCAATGACATTAGAATCTTGCCTGGGCGATTCCTCAGCTTTTCTAACATTCCATAAATTATTAAATGAAGTATGAGGCAAATGACAGATATGCTCAACACGATAGCAGAAAGCCATGAGTGAACTATGGAATACGGCAATAAATGGGTATCATCAACACAAGTGGCAATTTGCAGCACAATATTTTTTTCTCTTTTATATACTTCATACTCATCCTTGCCTAGATATTTCATGGTCTTGTTAATGTAAACACTACCATCTGCCAAAAGATGAAAATTTTCGCCGTTCAAAATAACTTTTGGGCAACTATCTTTCAGTCCTTTTTCATTTGAAGTACTTATAGGAACACATCTGGATCCTTCTCTCTTGTACAAAGTGCCGCACGTAAAATTTTGACATTTCCTGAAGATTGGATCCCAGATTTGACCCTCATGTAACAGGCAGGGACTCAGATTTCCAACCTCCTCCAAACCTCCATAGTAGTTAAAATCAAACAACATCGTCATAGGAGCTTTGAAGTCTGGGTCAGTTCGAATTGGTCCTACAGAGGGATCTGAGCAAATGATACTTTCAATTGGTACGCCATTACATAAGGCACAATGAAAATTTTTGTAAATTTCTGTTCTGGGTGGAGGTTTACGATATACATATGATGTGTAGGCATTGCATTTGTGTATACTTTCAGAATCCACTCCATCTGGGCAACTGTTAATGATTGGCTTGCAAAGCCTAGCTCCATTATCTGTCACAAGACTCGGCAAGACGAAATTCTTAACATTAATTTGGCAATTTTTCAATCTGCCATTTATTTTCACTCCACGAAAATTCATAGTCCTAGGGGTATAAATTGCATCGCTGAAGTCAGGATCATCCATAAAACTACCCCCAAGCCTTCTATCACCATTGCAGAAAAGATATGTTTCCCACTTAACGAGTTGTGAGTCACCGTTACAAATGGCGCAATACACATTTCTGTAAAACATATTTGTTGTCTCACTTTGCACTGGTAAGTCTTGAAGGTGATCGAACGGCAATTTCAATCGTTCTCTCTCGGTCGCTTCCATTTCACACATATCCTTGATAAATTCATCTTCCCAATTTTGTGGGCATTGCTGATAAACGTATATAGGTATCCGAGATACATTTAAACCTCTTATTGCTCTGCAAGACCAATTCAAGCTTTTTGCGTTTTCGAAGTCAACCTTATCGATGCAACAGTCTTGATACTTCGAGCAAAGATTGTCACAGTAGCAAGAAGAACGACTCAGATGAATCCAATTCGATATTGGCTGAACTTCACTGATACCACAAGTCCCAATT